TCATTGTGTTTTTTTACCATGACCATATTGGCTATCGATTCAGGGTAGCAAACCTCCTTGATAAAGTCAACTCGTAATAATTTGGCAACATCTTCCTCGATAGCCTATTACCTTTTTGAGGTAAAAGTTTATTTCTTTTCTCAAACTGGTTTGACCTCTAGATTAGTATGCAGTCAACGGATCATTACATCAATATCAATCTTGGGCATATCAGATGGTGTCCAAGCAAACAGGTTAACATTATCTTTTATAAATTGAATGAATTACTCTTTATGTTAGAGCTTGGCTCCAATCTATATGTGTTTTTGAAGAATATTATTCTAAAATAAAATTATCATGAGGTCCTCAGTCAGCTTGGGTTGATTTTCATTCAAGTCCAGTGTTTGATCAATTATCTCTTTTTATTCTATTAGATCGAGATCATTTATTGTGAAAATAGGTCTCGATGTGATGATTAGTATATTGAACAACTTGTTGAACGTGTTAGTAGAAGTAAAATGTATTTTTCATTTAATGTTGTGTTTTGGCCGATATGTTAGCTCAGTCCAAGTAGCATTAATTTTTTACGTTAGCTTAAAAGCTCTGTCGCTTCTATTGTTGTCTTAGAAAATTTAAAAAAATAAAATAAAATCAAGTTTTTGTAGAGCTTAAGAGTCAAAGCCAGCTTAAGAGTACACTTTTGTCAGGTTGTGTGCTCTCATTATTGGTTTTCTGCTCTTTATCAACTTTTTGTGCTGATTCCTCTTTGTATTCCACCTTAATATTGGTCAAGCTGCCTGTCTGCTTCTCAATATTTCATTTCATCATTGTAACATAACATTATCGTGCTATGGAGGGTCCCTTCAAACTTTTTTAACCCTTGTAGGTGTTAAGAATTTCTCTTTTAAGTGAGAAACTAAGCCTATGAGCTGCATAATAGACTGACTGGGTCAGCCTAATATCATGTTGTAAGCAAAAGTAATATATACTATCATGAATTCCACGACCAAGGTGATTGTCTTTAGTTCTATTTCTAGGGAGATCGAGAGTTTAAAGGTTTTTCTTACTGGCACCTGTTCATTTTTAAACCCAACTAGTGTTGTAGTGATCGACTTTAACTGATATTCTTTCATTCCCATTTTTTTAAAAACAGTCATTGTACATAATGTCAGCCAAACTCTCATTGTCAAATAGGATTTTTTGACTATATAGTTATATACCAGGGCTGTGATCACTATGATGTCATCATGTAGGTGTTGGATCCCCTTTAGATCTTTTAAGCTAAATAAGATCAACTTGTTCCTCTTAGCCATGGTGCCTATTGATATTACGGAGCCTAGGTTGAACTTTCTTTTTGTCGAGATGAAGCTGCCTCTTGTGATCACGTTAATCACCCTGGTAATTGGTCTGTTATTGTTAGTTCAACCTTTTTTTTGATTTAGCTCTTTCCCTTGGGCATCTCTTCTTTCATGATTTGATCTTTCCTCTTTGCCTCTAGTAGATGTTTTGTGGTCATTTTTATAGTCTTTTCTAAATTGATCTTGTCTTTTCTACTTGACAAAATTTTTAACTGACTTCGCCTAATTAGAGCTTCAATCTCATTTTTCAGGTTGATATGGTCTTTTGTATTATGGTCGATGTCCCGATGGAAAGTGCATGTTTTGGTCAAATCCTGTATTGTATTATGTTTTGATGGCTTAGGCCATTTGAGGTTGAGATTTCTTTCGATTTGCATCAGAATCCTTTCACGAAAAGTATTCAATGCAATGTAGCTTCTTTCTCTGTTGGGGCTTCTAGCCCTGTGTTGTCTCTCTCTTGGAGGAGGATCCTAGAATTCTTTACCTTTTTTAATACCGAAGATAGGGGATGAGCTTCTCTTACCTTGATCATTGAGAATGTGGGATAAGCTTCTCTCACCTCAGTTTATTTTCATTATAGCTTTAGTGTTGATATATTTCTTTGATATTAGCATGAGGTCGGCTAGAGTTTTCAGTGGTTCCAATGACAATGTCAACTTCAAGTGGTATTCGTTATCATTAAGTCCGCTGGTCAATGCGGCAACAGTGACCATCTGTTTTAGGTCTTTGACCTATAAAGCTTCCACGTTAAAATGCGTAACATAACATTTTAAAGTTTCATTTCACCCTTGATGAATTGACATCAAGCTTAGGGTTATTTTCTTAGTTCTTTCGCTATTCATGAATCGAAATAAAAATGAGTGGTTAAGCTCCTTAAAAGTGGTGATCGACCTTGGCTCAAGACTACTATACCAAGATTGAGGTATGCCTTTCAAAGTAGGAATAGACCATTGCACATTAGAGCCTCATTTACCCCTTGTATCATCATGTTAGTTTTATAAAGTTGTAAATATCAAAAGGGTCAAAAGTGCCATCATATGTCTCTAAGGTCAACATTTTGAATCCTTTGAGAAGCATGGCTCTATTGATATTTTCGGTAAAAGGTGATGTCTCCAAAAATTTAAGCTCATCCTTAAATGTTGCTGGTTTCATTTTCAAGTTTTTCTTTATGGCTCACATCTGAGCCTTCAAATCTTTATTTGGTTGGGGTTCATAGTCTGTTTGTTTAGACTTTTAGGTTGTGGCATTTGTAGAATTATAGTTTGGGCGGTGAAGGGTTGGATTGGTATGCTCTTCTTCTTTGAAGGCCGAAAAAGCTTCCGTCTCTCCGTAGCTTGGCTGTCCAACACTAGCTTCTTGGCCCTATGTGACTAAGTCTGTAAATTTTGAGACTTGTGGTAGGGTTATAATTTGGAACATCTGTTTGAGGGCTTGTATTTGCTCGGTCAGGGCTTGAAATTGCTTTATGGTTGGCTTAGCCTGTGGTTGAGCTAGGCAGATAGAATTTTGGCTTTAGTGAGTTTATGTTCTAGCCAAAACGACTCTCTTCTTCCTCTTAGGTTCTTTTTCTAGGTGGCATAGTTATGTACTCGACTGTTATGAAAATGTCGGTTCTTTACTTGACGTGCGAAATGATTGTGCCGAGCTCCGACCTAAAGGCAATTTTATAAAGATAGAAAAAAGAAACGATTAGAGGTAAAGGCATGGGTTACGAATACAGGTTGAGCTAAGGTGACATTGAAGATGTCAAACCAACATGATATGTTAGGTCAGCACAAATAACCAAGATACCTCTAATTGTTTGCTAGAGACTAAGAGAGGAAAAAAGACCATAGGTCCTTTTGACCATTATATGCCACTAAATCTAACGAACAGGTGTTGCAGATTCTGGCTCCTCTTAGTGGATTTTCCCTATGAAATTTGAAGTCGTATCCTTTGAAAATTTCTTGCATGGCGGAGGTCGACAAATCCCACATTCTTCATGAAGAATGAAATTGCAATCCTTGTCGGGACATTGGTAGCGAAGTCCAAATCCTAGCTCTTGCAACCGTCGTAAAAGAAAGCAACTTCACTCTTTTTCCACTCAAGCTAATGTGGGTGACCATCATCGTTTAGTTTAAACAGTGTTGGCATCTTATTGTAGGCGTTTCTACAAAGACAAAGATTTACTTGAATAATCTATTTAAAAATAAGTTTGAATATATAATTTGTACTTTTATATGCTACATGAATACATTAATTTAATCAACTAGATGCGAAGAAATATATGCAAATAATATCATTTGCATTCACGGTATATAAAACTCAAAATTTGAATTTGTAATCAATAAAAAAAATGCTTGAAATTCATCTATCATTTGTAATGATTGCAAAGGGTCACATTGGGTTAAGTCCAATCGGGTTTTTTCTCATTCCGATTTTGACTTGATTTGAAAAAATATATACTCAAATATGATATTAAAATATTGTTTTTTTATACTTGATCTGACCTAATCTGTATATGTAAAAAACAACAAATGATCGAAAATTAATAAAATATTATTTTTTAATATAAAAATTTATTTTTAATATAAATATAAATATATATATAATTAAATAAATAATAAAAAAATTATATATATAAAGTCGAGCCAAAATGGATTTGTCTAAAATCCAACTTTGACCCAATCTCAACTTTTTTTTATTCAAACTCAACCAAAAACTCAATTTAAAAAAAAAAATAATAATAATCTTATAGGATTGAATCGAGTTGAAACCTATGATTTCAGGTATTATTGCCTTCTCTAGTCATTTACAGTAAAAAGAAAAAAACAAAATATGTCAATTCAATGTCACACGACATAAATTCCATCAAAAAATTATCGACTTTTTTTGCCACATGAACATCCAAATATCCGAATCCACTTATTGTTGTCATACATAACATTGAAGTGGATTTCGTTTAGTCGAATTAAAGATCAATAATGAAAATAAAATATTACAGAAAAACCATAAATAAATTACCTTGATTAATTTGATACAAAGAAATATGAGATTGGTGAAGGCTATGAGACGCAAGAGATATAATGAAAACTAGAGTCGAAGGAATATTTGGGATAAAAGAGGCCCAAGTATTTATATCAAAAAATCTTTGCATAACCGCGTGACTGCTATAATTTTTTTCTCATTATTCTGGAAACAAATTTATAGTTTAACCCTTGTGATAAATAATTTAGTTTTAAAATTTTGTAGATAATGATTTGTTGATAAATAAATAAATAAATAATGTGATTTTGAAATACATCTTAATTTCAATGAATAAAATTAAATTATGAAATCACATAAAAACAAATAAAATTAATGATTTTAGTTTTAAATGGCCATTTAATTTTATCATAACATATATTTAGACCTGATAATATGGTAACACGATACAAAAATGATACAATAAAAATACGGAAATAACACAACTTAAAATTTAAAAAAAACCATAAATAAATGTAATAGAATCACAAAATTACATTTTATGTTTTCATATCGACATAAATTATAACACGCGATTTTGTGTAAAATACGACATGAATAAAATATTTTATACGATACAATGACATAAATTATCAGGTCTACGTAAATTAAAATTTAAATATTTTGGCCCCCTGAAAGAATTACATGTTGTCTTTTAATTTTGTAAACATATCGTTTACTGTTTTTTTCCAATCCGTACATGGATAAGAAAGAACACTACATTTTCCTTGATATAACGCATCAACTTGAAATTTCTAATTTGTTTACGCGAACTTGATGAGAAAAAATTAACGCGGAACTGGAACTTGCGAAGAAACAAGTTGAAAGAGGCTAGCATTGCTTGAGACGTCGGGCAGTGTGTATAAATGTGCATAAATTAATACTCCCATTCCTCCATTAAGACTCCAACTTTCCTTTTTTTTATTTGAAGCAGTCAATTCTACCTCACAGACAGTTGGTAAGATTCTAGCTTCGATTCTCTCTTGTGTGGAAAAGATTTTCCATTTATATATATATATATAATACATTTCTTGCAACAATATAGTTTTAATTGTTGATTATAGCTAAGTTTATGCTAAATCTAACATATATGAAAGGTGTAGGAAATGATTAAAATTAAGAGCTTATTGTTTATTTTTAATTTGAGTTTGCCCTGAGTTTAGGACTGACAACAGTCACATGATCTGTTAATATTGAACTAGATTATTAATTCTCATGTCACGACTCAATTCATAACAGATTCAAATAGTTTTAAAAAAAAAAAAAACTTTAAGACTATAGAAAACATAGCACTCGATCAAAAAAATAAAAAAATTCGTATAACATATAAAAGTATACATGATATTATATTCAATTCAATCTTTGTCTTTGCAGAAACGCCAGCAAGAATCAATTAGAAAAGATGCCGTCACTGCAAACGTTACGGGATCTAGATGACCACCCACATCCGCTTAAGTTGAAAAAGAGCAAAGCTCCTTTCATTTGCGATGGTTGCAAAGTGGAAGGATTTGGATTTTGCTACCAATGTACCGAAGGTTGCGATTTCTTTTTCCATAAGGAATGTGGGATTCGTCGGCCTCCAGCATGCCAGAAATTTTTCGAAGGATGTGAGTTCAAATTTCACAAGAAAAATCCACTCGGAGGAGACAGAATCTGCGACGTCTGTGCCTTGGATATACAAGGCTTCTTGTACCAAAGCACCTGTCGCAAAAATCCCAATGTTTTACATCCCTGTTGCGCAAACCTTCCAATGATCATCTCCCCACCTTATACCGACATGAAAATATACCTTTGTAATAAGATTAAAACAGAATGCTTAAAATGCGGAAGCAAGAAAAGATCAGCAGACAAAGTCCAGGGTTTTTCCTATGCTTCTTCGGATGGTGAGTTCTGTTATCATGTAGCCTGCTTGAGAGAAGTCGGCGTTGAGAATTGGATAAAGAGCTATTGTCAACCTGATGTTATTGCTGATAATGAGAACAAGCCCCTTTCCTTGATAGATCTTGCTCTGAAAAAAGTAGCTCCGGTAGGAATGGGGGCCAAAGCTCGAAAGCAATGAAGCGTTTCAAAAAGTTGATCATGTTTCTCAAGCTGGTCTTTTCAGCAGTATTTGGAGACCCACTGACTTTAATTTCTACTTTGGTCCAAATTTATCAAAATTAATAATTATATATTTGTTTGTGTGTGTGTGTGGGCTCTTATCCAGGAACTTTGCTTTTTACTTTATATTTTTATTGTTATAATTTTATCCTCTTTTATTTATTTTATTTATTTTTATGTTCTCATTTTGTCAATCCTTTCTATTTTTTTTTAGTTATATTTATTTTCATTTTTTTTATATATTATCCAATTATTTCAAAAAAAAGAAAGAAAAAAGAAAGGTTAACCGAAAAGAGTTTGAAATTCGGCTGGTGATAAATCAGATTAAGTGATTATGCTTGAAATCAAATTGAATTAACACAAACAAAGACAACAAACACAAACAAACAACAAACAAAGACAAGGATAAACACGAAAATCATAGCAGCCATGGGCAAACATCACAAATCAACACACAAGAAGCAATAGTTAAATTCTGGGTCGTACCACTGAACGGTGGATGGAGGTCATTGGCGTCTTGAGGTGGTCGGCATTTTCTCGGACGTGCACAGAAAGGAAGATACACGGCTAGTAAGAGAATGAGAGAAAGGGAATTTTTTTGTTTGAAGGACCAAACCTGACGACGTGTTGGATCGAATGTGGAAAGAAGGTGTTGACGGTAGAGTGGCTGTTGAGTTGAAGAAGCCAGAAAAGAAAAGAGGAGGAGGCTAATAAGAGTTCCCTACTGCTTTGAATGGTGGAAGATTTGCTGCTGGCAGATTCGAGACACCGCAAGTTTTGGGGAGGAGGAGCGGCCGGCCTTGTTTGCATCTTAGGAAGGAAAAAGACTAGGAAGTGGGAGTGGCTAGAGACAATTTACTTGGGCCACTTGACTTGGAAAGTGAAGAGACCGGTTTTTAGAATCAACCTATTGACTTGGGTCAACTCTATTCCAAGTAAGAAAATAAAATGAGAAAATAAAAAATCGAATCCAAATTATAGTATTTAGTTTAGATCAATTTTTTTTGTTTGATTTAAATTAAGTTTGAATATTAAATATATATTAAGTTCGGATTAAATTTTGAATTAAGATATGAAATTAAAAAAAATAATTAAATTAAATTATATATTTTTATTAGTTTTTATATAATTTTTAAATTTTTATAAAATAAAATAATTATTTTATATATAAATCTATTTAAATATATTTAAAAATCTATTATAACAATATATAAAAAAATTTTAAAAATCAATAAATTGAATCAAACCGATAGAATTCAGTTCAGATTAAATCGGTTTTGAAAAAAAGTTGATTCAGATAAAATTTTTAAAATTCATAATTTTATGTATTATCTAAAAAAATTGAATCGAATTTGATCCAATTCGATTCGAACTATTATTACCTTTAATTCCACGAGCTCACTTTGTTTAGATTCCTCTCTTAGTCTGAACTTTGGTATTTATTTTACTATTTCTTTTTCTTAGATTCTGTTTATTTCGTAAAAAATGACTTTCAGAAAATAATTTTTAGAAAATATTTATTTTTTAAAATTTAAAGAGATTTTTGGTTGTTTGGATGAGTTAATAAAAAATATTTTCTATTATTTGGTTTTTTTTGAAAATTTTATTTTTTTAAATAATATTAATAGAACTATTAAAATATTAAAAATTATTTATTATTAAAGTAAATTGAAATGACTTATTATTAAAATTATTAATATTAAAAAATAATTATATTTTAATAATAATATTTATTATTAAAATATTATGTTAATATAAAAAATACTTAAAATAAAACTATTTATTATTCTTTATATTATTTATAAATATATTATAATATTATTTATTAATATAATATTATTTATAAGTAAAATTATATTCAAAAGTATTGATAAATAGTTCTACTCATAAACAGCTTTCTTTTTTTTTTCAAATCTGTAAGACAATTTTCAAAAAAATGATTTTATTTTTCGTTGATCAATTAGTTTTTTATCAAACAAACACCTAAAAATGCATAAATCAATTTTTAGAAGTCATTTTCGATGAAACAAACAGAACCTTATTTGATTTTAGGTATTCATTCATATATTTTATCATGCATTGTCTTAAATAAGGTTTTAACTATTTGAACGTAAACTCTCTCTCTCTCTCTCTCTCTCTCTCTATATATATATATATATATATACATAAAAAAATATAATAAAATTTGAAATAGGTTTTAATAAAGTAAAAAAAATTTATATAAAATTTTCTATATTACTAATTGACATTTAGTTTCAAGTTAAAATAATACACTTTATAAAATAAATTGAATAAAATTCAATGATGAAACTCTTAAAAATTACAAATAGATCATTTTCTAAAAAAATTCTAAGTGAGAGATTTTTTAAGTTTAACCCAAATAGAAGGAAAATTTAGATAAAATTTCAAAAATAATAATTAGTATTTATTTTCAAAATACATAAAAAACCCAAACAAATTTAATAAAATCTTGGGAATGAATTAACAATTATCTGATGATTAGATTGTTAAAATTTTCAAATTATCAATTATCTAAGAAATCTTTATGTGAAAATTTTCTCTAAATTTAGCTCAAATAATGAAATGATTTAGACAAAATTTTAAGAAAACTAATTGTATTCATTTCAAACAATAAATAAATAAATAAATAAATTATAACTTATAAGCTTGTTTGAAAAAATATGACAATTATCCAAGGATAAAATCCCAAGAAAATCACAATTGGTTGAATTTCTAGGAGATTTCTAGGTAAAAATTTTTTCCAAATTCAACCTAAATGGTAGAAAATTTGAATGAGATTTCAAATAATAATTGTTTTTTATTTTCATTCTTAAAATTAAAAAATAAATAATGCATAAAATTCAACAATAAGAGTCTAAATTTAAAAAAAAAAAAGATATTTTTAAATTTAGCCCTAATGATAGAATATTTAGTTATATTTCAATACAATAGAAGTTAGAAAATGTATCCAAAATAAAGAATAAATTTCGAATATGAAATTCTTAATAATCGCAAATGGATCATTATTTAAAAAAATTTTCGATGAGAAAATATTTTTAAATTTAGCCAAATTGTGAAAAATATAGATATATTTTGAATAAAATAAGATTGAATAAAAAAAAGTTTTTTCAATGATCGAACCTTTTGAAAAAAATAAATGAGATTCTTTAATATTTTTAAGGTGAGAAAGTACTTTTAAAAATTTCGTCAGATTGATAAAAAAATCTTAAAAATTATTTTTAATATTTAATTGTTAAAATTTAATAAAAGACCGTTAGATACAATACCTTTAGGATAATTTAAAATTAAGTGATACCATCTTTTAGATGGACGTATAAGGTGCTAAAATCTTCCCATATATAATTGAATTTCAGAATTCTATTTTGATTAGTAAATAAGAATTTATTATTTTAAGAACCTTTAGTCAAACTTAAGATTTTCAATTAAATTGAACAGAACTAACAAAATCATTTATTATATTCTAATCAAAAACTAAATCAAGGTTTAACAACATTACTTAGAAAATGGTTCAACAAGGAAATTTCTAGTTATGTTTATTAATCTTTGTTACGTGGACTTAATGAGAAAAAATTAACGCAAAACTGAGGAAGAAATAACAGATGAAAAGATGATAGGATTGCTAGAGAGATTTGTGTATAAATACTCTCATTTAGGGCTTTTTCATCTACATTCCTGCATCAAGACTCCAATTTTCTACTTTGCGTCTGAAGCTGTCAAGAATTGAATTCGGTAATTGAAACTAAGAGTTTGAAATTCTAGGTTTAATTATATCTCTTGTGTGTAAAAGATTTTCCTTTGGTTAAAATCATATCCAACTTTGTTGGTCTGCTTATAGAAGGTTAATTATATCTTGATTTTAATTGGTTACATTTATATTTTATATATATATATATATATAATTTCTTGTAACAATAGTTTTAGTTGTTGATTATAGACAAGCAGGAAAAGATCACCAGGCAAAGTCCAATGTTTCTTAATTCGGATAGCAAGTTCTGTTACCATGTGGCCTGTTTGAAACAAGCCTTGTTTGAGAGTTGGAAAAAGGGTTGTTTTTAACATGATGTTATTGCTGATCATGATGAGAGTAAAAGCCTTGAATTGCGAAATCTTGCTCCGAAAGAAATAGTTCTCCGAGGAGAGGGGACAAAGCTCCAAAGCAGTTATGGGTATCAAATCTAAAATTGGTCGTTTCTGCTATATTTGGAGAGCAATTGACTTTAATTTCTACTTTATTTCAAATTTATCAGAACTAGTCAGTATTTACTTGTTTGTTTGTGTGTCTTTTCAATGAATTCGTACTTTTTTTTTTAATTTAAGGAAAGAGATACAAATCCCGTTCAAAGAAGAAGAAATCATGCGTCAATTATTAAATTAAATGTTCGTCTGTAACGTGTACTTGATTTTTGTAATTTGTCTCACGGTGTGTTGAAACAAACACTCCTCGAAGCATCTGCTAATGTTTGAAAGATCATGATGAAAAGACGATAGCTTCTTAATTAATTATCACTAAAGCATCTGTTTCCAAGATTATTTTCCTGCATGCTATCTGGTGTGTGCGTCACCTCCAAAGCTTCTGTAACACAAGCTCCATGGACTAAATTAAGCTGCTGCGCCCAAACAAGTTCCTCATGATCCCCTCTGATGATTCCTCTTCCTCCGCACTTGAGCCGGTTATCAAAGGCTCCATCAAATTAGTTAAACCTTAAAAAGAGAACTAGGTGGGGCCTCCAACGAAGCTGAGACCTGTTTGCTTGAGATCTAGAATGAGGCATGCTATACCCTGGTGGTCAGGTCAACATTTGGAATGCCAAGTCGGCATCCATCAACCATCTGACCGCTGAGGCCTGATATGTATAAAAGGTAAGGAAGAAACACAGGTACATCATTTGAACCCTCTACATATTTTCCAAGTTTTCCTATTTCTCCTTCATCTCCTATTTTCTATCATCTTAATTGACTTAAGTGTCGAAATGCATCCTAAAGTCTTATCTCCAACACTCCCTGACCATTCCCGTTATGCAATTCAGTCCCTAAAGCACCAGCTATCCTCACCAAAAATACCATCAACAAAGCATATGTGCTTGCTAGTATTCTATACGAAGAAATCGAGATCTGTCCACT